ACTTCATGGCCACACTCAAGGGGCCAAAGAGCCGCATGTGGCTCCTGAGCCGCAGTTTGCCGACCACTGGTCTAGGGCAATGATACTCGATGTACTGTAGCTGCTTTGCAAACTGTTATTTCTCCATACTGAGATAAGGAGCCTGTGTCAATGTGAACCATCACACTGCTTTCTTCATCAAGAAAGACATGCTGTGAAAATAATGTCAGATGGGCCAAACAGTGTGCTTAGGAATATAGTAGGCGGCCTAGGGGGAGAGAGAAGTTAGACTGTGTGGCCATAATCTCATGAATGATCTACTATAAGTGTGTCTATGGTAGAAACTTACTACCAATAAGAGACCAACCTATCTGAAAAATATTGGGCATCACATTGAAGCTTCTACGGCAATACCTAAGGCTCTAGAAACTGTGTTAGAGGTATCATAGGTAAAATGATGCCACTGGTACAGAACAGTACCCTATGGCATGTCTTCTATTCCTAGGCAAATATGCAACAAACTTAGGAACCCAGTTTTGTTTTGTTTTCCTTTATTTTGGGGGTGTTTGTGTGTGAATCCACTTATTTTTTAAAAAAACACACATTAATTTTATTGATTTTTAGACAGAGAGGAAAGGAGAGGGAAAGAGAAACATGATATGTGAAAGGGAAACATCCATTGGTTGCCTCCCACACGCCCCTCCCCTCCACCAGGGATTGAGCCTGCAACCTAGGCATGTGCCTTGACCAGGAATCAAACCATGGAGACAATGCCCAACTAACTGAGCCACACTAGCCAAGGCTACCCTTTTTTATTTTTTAAAGAAAAAAATGAGGAAGTGGGTAGAGAATAAGATGGATGATGAAGACATGTGAATCACACCCCACTTTGATTAATAACTACTAATGGAGAATTAGTGGAGATTATGACTTGGATGATTCTTATCAGATCATAACCAACCTCTCTACTAGGTATTTAGCTAACACTATACATTTTCCACAGAACTTCACTTCATCATTTGATTCACAAAACAACTCTGTTGGATGGTAAGGTACCTTCTTTTGACAGGTAAGCATAGATGCTCAGAGACAGAGATACCTGCCCAAGATTAACTGGAGAGTAAGAGGTAGAGGTAGACTGAAGAGTCCTTTTAACCAACATGCTTAGAATCTGATTAGGGGTATTCATGAAATAAAACCTTATGGCACAAAATCCATGGTGCTTTCTGCAACAGCAGAAGAGAAAACATTAAGGAATTAGACACTGAAATTGGTTTTCAGATGATTCAGATACTTAGCTCAGCTGATTCAATCATAAGTTAACTCCAAGATATAATAGTGAAACAAGATCAAGATCAAATCCTCTTTATGACTACATTGTGGCAGGCACAAAGAAAAGTGGGTGAGACAGACTAATTGCCTAATACTGTCTGCTAGTCTCCTCTTTTCTATGTATCTGGAAAAATAAATTAATGTTATAAAGAAAAATTCCCAAACTAACAATAAAAATTTCCAAATTAATCCCAGGTCTCAGTTCTTCAAGAGGAACCTGTAAAAGATCACTGCTAAGAAAAGTTTTGCATCACTTGACATTTAATTTGAAATCGTTTATCTTCAAGTCAGCAATAATTAGGTGCTGCTATCAGCCATTCATCATGAAATGTAGAAAAATACATTTCCTCCAGAGAGAGAGCAGTGCGTAGCTGGAGCGAGTCAAGGCAAGCCAACACAGTTGAGAGCAGATGTTTTAAAAATAAATGTCCTTTACTTATCCCCTCATGAGGTACCTCAGTTATGTAGTGGTATCATTGTTCTGTCCCCTGTACTGTACAAAAGTGGTGCTGTGCTAGCCAAATTCTAATAAAAAGTCTTCAGTACTTAGCTTTGTATTGTCAAAGAAAATGGATCATCTAAAACACTTGTATTTCTAAGGGAATGAATATATTAATTAGTTAGTATATATGGCTCAATGAGACATACAAATTGTGGATGGTACACCCAACAAGAGTTGAACATTGTAGTGTAGTCACTTTTTAATTGCATGTGTTTGGATCTAAGCCAATTATATTACTCCATTAACTTTGCCTAATGGAACCAATATGGAATTAACATGAGACATGTGTTTTAGAAAGAAATGTATATCTGGCACTACCTTAGCAGGTAAATTTTAAGGAGTGTTAACCTAACTTTGGAGAAACTATACAAAACCCCTACAAGAAACAATACTATGGGGAGGGAAGAGAAAGAACAACTATAGAAACTTAATGTGACTTGTATGTAAATGTAACTGGATCCATATGCAACATCATCACTTGAAGGTCATAGAACTAAGAAGTGATCATCTTAATAAAATAAGTTAGCTTCAAGTAGAGATTTGAGTGTGGTAGTCAAGTCAGATTTTATTTTTTATGGACACGTGCTTTGACCCTATCCTGTGTGTAACGTTGCTTTAAGCTTTTATTATGTTGTGATAATATACATATGGTTTCCAAAAGTGGGTAGTTAACTATCTTACTTTTCAATGGATTTCCCTGCTTGAATGAAGTTGATTCCTTCCAAGCTGATAATCTGTTTATGTTTTGAATAAATTTCAAGTGTATTGGAATAAAACTATTATGCTTTTCTTAGAGATTGGATCATGTCAGTGGTTTCTCCTTCCATTCAGAAGTTGTGGTAGGTACCATAAAAACCATTATGCAGTAATTAAAGGCTTTATGTGAAAGAAATCAGCAGCTCAAATGAGAGAGAAAACACTGTTGCTGCTCCTGCTCTAAAGCAATTTTGATTTGTCTAAATGTGAGACACAATTTTACATCATTGGTTGTGTGGACAAGTCTGCTTTCTTCTCGAATCCTTTGTTCAGGCACTGGCACAATCAATAACTTGGGTCACTGGGCAGTAGACTCTAATGAGGACAGTGGCTACATTAAGTCAATTTTATTTAATGTGTAAAATGAGTTCAACATTCTTTTATATTTAGATAATTTTAAAAAATCACATCAGTATATTAGAGAAAGGTCTACTTTGAGGAGAAGCAAGGGAAAGATTAGTTTTTATTTTTGCTGAAAGCAGATTATGGTCATATCCTAAAATTATATATTATAATGACTTGGCATTGAGCTGGACATTCTTATTATACAACATTATAGAATGACATTTAAATGATATATTAAAAGTAAGATGAGTTAGATATGTTTGAATTTAAAATAAATGAAATAAAATGTCCTCAGTTGGGCAAACTAGATCTGAGTTAATATCATAATCTTTGCCTTTCAAGCTGTGTGCCATGAAAATAACAGTGACAACAGTGACTTAAAGTAAGTTTCTGAATTGAAATATAGAAGGAAATGTGCTTGGCAGAGTATTTATTTTATTGTCTGCTTGTAGAGGTTGTCCCTAGAGGACTTTGTTCCCCCTCGGGGTCCTAAACTTTGAAGTCTGCTGATGTTAGCTGCTGCCTCATGGTTGCTCTGGCCCCCTTGTTGTAATGTGCTGTATACTGCACAGATCCATCCTGGAACACAGACAATTTTCCTTCTAACTAAGGAACACTAATTTTGGGAAAAATTCTTGCTATTGAAGACGCTTGCCAAACAATCTACAAATGGAGAGGAGTCTGGAGACTGTGAACAGTACTGGCAACGTATGAAATATTAGATAATAAAGAAGCAATGAAGAGAAACAAGTGATGCTGACTCTTGCATTTCATTAGATCTGATTCTGCATATAGTATATTAATAATGATACACCCTATGGATGCAATTTCATGTTTATAACACTTTGGCCATTGGCAGCATTATGCACCTGTGTTTTCTATGCCTTCCCATCTGCTGCCTACAGTCATTCAGATTCAGGTGATGGAAATATTTTAGATAAAAGTTAATTAGCCTGCACTCTGCAGATTAAATCTCCATAGTTCAGCATCAAATAGGAATCTTCTGGGCAACTGCTGAAAGTAACTAGTGCCCGCCTTTCCAAAGATTAAAAATGTAAGATTCATTTTTCTAGAAAAATAAATCTTTAGTACTTTCTTGACATTTTATGCATGGATTCTATCAAACTTTTGATATCTGTCCTTACTCATTTACATATATATATATATTTTTCCCTTAGTTTCTCAGCCTCTACAATGGGACCAATACCAATTACCTATTTGTTTCATAAATACTTTGTGCAAGGCTTAATGAGCCTTGATATTTTGATAAAAATAAGGCACAAAATGCATACAACTTCTATTGCTTAAAGGACCCCGCCCTCCCTTAAATATTTATCTCATCATCATTAACAGCTAAGTTTACAAATAGCTTCTTTTATTGAAAATATATTTGATTTTTTTAACCCATAGGAAACTTCCTTTATTTCTAGATAATTGGAGCAGAAATGGGCTGAGCAGAGCAACTGCATACAGCCAGGCTTTGAGCCCACATCACATAGAAAGAAGACAGGGACAAAGACATAATCCCAAATGACTCATCCTATCCATTTTCATGCGATTACACAATAGCCAAGACTAATTAACCACCCTTCTTTACCTATTGCTTCTGTACTAGTTACAGATTTCTTATTTACTCAAGGAATTCAAAGGGATGTGCTTCCCTCCTGACACCATCGCCTATGGCTCAGGCACATCTTCTAAGTCAAAGAGAGCAGATGCTGCTCTTTCCGCCACATGCTCTCCGAATTCCTCAAGGGAGTGAAACTCTGGCAGTCGCGGATCCTCCATCGCCCTTCCCACAACCTCCCCTCCCCGCAAGCTAGTCAATAGAACCCGGATCCCTCTCCAAGATCTTAAACTTAGACTTCCACTTCGTCCGGCACTTTTTCCCATTTTTGCTTTAAGTATTTTTCTTTTACTTCTATCTACCAACTACCGAGGTGGTCCAATCCTTAAACAGTATCAAAGTTGAAAATCCCTAAGTCCTTCAGGACTTCCCGGTCTCCTTTCTCCCCCAGCAACCTCCCGCGATGGTCCCAGCCCCCAGCGGCGCCCGTCTCCACTCCACGCGCCCGCGTGCTCTCACCTGACTCTCCCGCGGAAACTCGTGGCGCACGATGCTGATCACTGGAATGTGCAGAACAGAGCTGACCAAATCGAGCTCCATCATCTCGCCCTGGCTCTGGGGGAAAGCCAGCAGCGCCGATACCCCCTGCACCACCACGGTGTGGCACACGCTCTGCAGAAAGGAGAAAGGGTCACTGCTCCACGGCGAGCTAGGGGAGGAGAAAGGCAAGAGCGGCAGATCGCCCAGGCCCGCCTCGATGGCCATCACTACTTCCAAAGACAGGTTGTAGGGCAGTAGCCCTTCCACGCGGTTCAGGTTGTCCACGGCGAAGAGGAGGGCGTCCCGAGGCCACAGGGTCTCGGCCCCTGCGCCCTCCCCGGGCTTCCTGA